AAAACAGGCTTCCCTTTGTTTAAATTAAGAGTAAACCCTTCTGCCTAAAATGAGTGAGAGGGTAAGATATGAGTGTGGGTAAATATGTGCACTGCCCTCATATTAATATCAAAGTCTTTATCCACTATACCACAGAGGGCCTGGATGCTAAGAAAAAAAGTATAATAAATATATCAGCTGTCATGACTTTCAGCACATGGTTCCAATTGTGGACTAAAGTAAACATGTAGAGGAACCAGACTTGATGTTATGAGTGTTTCTAGGTGTATGTCCTTTGATTTCAGAGTTCCTTCTGCCATGTTAACATGAGAGCTGAAAGGAAGCTGGCTCCACTCCACAGGTGCCTCACTATTGCTCCACAGCTGCTCTGAACAGGATTAAAGTCCCTGCTGCTCTTTATCCTGGATGTGCTGCATCACTGATTGACAGCTGATATAGAGAGAGAGGCTGGAAACACTCACTGATATCCTCTCTTCATCCTTCTTCTCTCTGCAGGGAGTGGAGGTTCTAATCATTGTGAAGATAGAAGCTGATCTGTGTCCTGATGATCCACAGAGGTTGAAGCTGCAGCAGTTTTATTTTAAAGAGACTGACTGGATCCTGATGATGAACTCTGAGTTTAATGAATGTGTGTTATGGTCAGTTTGAAACAATAAATATGACATTTGAACTAACCTTCATTTAGTTGCTCACTGTTTTTTTTATTTTTTTTACCAATATATTTTTTATTGAGATTTTTCCTTTGAAAATACAAACATGTCATTATCTGAACAAGTTCTCTTTATAGGTATGACATGACAGTAATTATTTTAGGTATAAGGCTGAGGTTTTTGATGTGTCTAGCTAATTTATATTTAAGTATCTTCCTTTCCTGTCTGCCCTGCTTAGCTCTGTGTCTTTGGTTCTTTTAGAGCTACTTTTTGCATTTCTTCCAAAAACTGGGAATTATGGATTTTTTCTAGCTAAATCCGAGCAAAAAGTTAGTAAAAAGAAAAAAAATGCTTGAAAAAAAAAACTAAAACTTATACCTGGAGAAAAAAAAGGTTCTCCAACAAAAAGAAAAAAGAAAAAAAACACTTAAACCTGAAAAAAAATTATGATGTTTATCCACATATTGTCATTCAACCACTGATTGTCTAGGTGGTGTTCTGAAGTGCAATCTTTTTTGGGGGAAACTGGAGATTCAGATAGATGGCATCCATCCCACTTTGGATGATCCAGCTCTTCTTTCTAGGAATCAAAACAAATGTATTAGTCCTTGTTAACTCTAACAACCAGGGGGCAGACCAGGAAGGATTTGTAGTTTAACACACCTCTCTGCAGCTATTCTACTGTTACCCATTCATTACTCCTGTGCTGTTATGTCCACACCTTTCTTGCATCAATGACTCTGCAGACGTTGATGTGTCTAAGCAGGTTTAATGACACTAAAAAGGTTAAAACTAGAAAAGGACAAAAATGGAGACAAAAAAATACAATGCAATTACATAATGCATATGTCCATAAAATGCTTGAACTGCACTGTGTATAATCTAAATTATAGAACCACATTAAAGCTGAAGTCTGTAAGTTTTTAAAAATCACTTTTTTGTCATATTGGCTAAAACTGTCCCTATGCCTAGACAGCAGTTGATGTGCTATGTAACCTGTGAAAAAAACTGCTTCAATTGGTCCTGCCTACTGCCTGTATTTCAATCTGGAAAGAATAATTCGGGACGAGTCAAAACAACCAATCACAGCCAGAGGAGCGTCTGATGGAGTGTCAATCACAGCTCACACAGGCTGAATCCGGCAAGGCACACCCCCCCTCCCCGCTGTGAGAGGGGTGGAGCTTGGAGGTGGGGCATGAGTGAAGCAGAGAGGGTGGGGGAGTGGCGTGAAACCTCTTTTTCTTCAAATTTTCAGTCGAAGTCCGCTCTCTCCTCAAAGTTACAAACTGCAGCTTTAAAGATAAAACAGTAATCAACAGAGACGCCATATTGCCGACCCTCTGGTTCACTAGCAATAGCTTGTTACAAATCAAAATTTACGGTTGCTTAACTCATTTCTAGTCACTACAAAATAACACAAGTATTGAACAAACATAAAATACATTTGTGCAAATCACATACCAGCGATGCAACCTCAAAGATGAAAGGCAAATGCGGTCTAAAGACCGCCGACATGTTCGCTGCCATCATCTGTCTGCCGCGCTGCTAAACACGTCACTTCCCATGGAAAACGGTCTCTTTAAATTAAAATGTACACAACCGTATCGACCTGACTTGTCCAGTAGATGGCACCATAAAGCAACAAGATTAACTAAGTGGAAATATCCAAACTTTTCCTAAAATAAAACATTATTAAAAGATGAAACAGAACAACTCCATCCAGCAGTGTCTTACCCACGGCAACAATGAAATAAGTTAGAAAAGAATCCTATAGGAGTAAATCCTGATAATCAAATTAAAATAAAAGCAACTCCAATTGGGGAAAAGGTTAAAACTATTAAATGTGATGATTTGATTTGTGATAATCACATTGATTTATGTTGCCTTACAGAAACTTGCCTGTAGCAAGAGGATTATGTAAGCATAAATGAGGCAACTCCCTCTAGTTATTTTAATTTTCACATCACCAAAATTCTGTGCGACGAGGAGTAGCAGCAATCTTTCAGTCTGACTCACTGATTACTCCAAAGGCTTCTAATATTTACAACTCTTTTAAACGTTTAATCCTTATTTTCCTTTCTATCAGACTTAATTTTATCACTTTTTAACCTGATCCTGGACATTTTCAAGCTTTGTGGAGTTGTTGCGGATTCTCTTTCGGCAGTTTACCATGCTTTACTGTCATTTGGTAAATTTTATGTACTGTGTCAGATGATAGAGAACTTCATTTTAACAAGCTCCTCATTTAACGATATTTAGCTGACTTGTTTTTACCTTAATAGTGATTTTTTAACTAACAGTGTTTTACGTCACTTGTTTATGTTTGAATTGTGTAGATAAAGTGTTAAAAGTCAAAAATCATTTAGTGACATAGTAGGAAGCTGTGTCTGTAGCGCCTGTTGTCTGGTTGGTGATAATGTAGCTCACTGCATTCATTAATCTCTAGTTTCAGATCATCATCAACTACATGTCTCAAAGTCAGAAGTCAGGCATTCCCCTCAGCACATTGTTTCTATCTAAATCAACACCATGTTAGACGCGTTTCGTCGTGGCGGGCGCCCTCCATCGCAACAAGTGCTTTATAGTATTCCTTTCTCATCGCTGCAGCTGTTATGTCACCTTTTCCTGTGCAGGGTGCCCTCCATCCTTAGTGGCGTGAGCCTACGCTCCCCTTTTGCCATCACTACAGGTGCTCATGGTGCCCTCCATCCATCGCAGCGGGCGCTCACAGTTGGCCTTTTCCTATCGCTGCAGGTGCTATGGCACCCCTCATTCTTGCGCCAGCACTCATTGAGCCCCTCTTCCCATTGCTACAGGTGCTCACGGCACCATTTTCTATCACTGCAGGTGCTATAGCTTTTTCCAGAGCAACTAGCTATGACAACCCTTTTTTCATTGCAACAGGCGCTTGGCGCCCTCCATCCAATGCTACAATGCTCATGGCACCCTGCATCCATCTCCACAGGAGCATCATGGTGCGTTATATCTATCATGGCAGAAGTCTGGCAGCCTTCTCAATCGCTACAGGTGTCAAGATTTGGATTGAGGACCAAAAGCAGAGGCAGGCAGAAGTGAATTTTTGGTAGATTTAATGATGAGAACTGAAAGAAAGTCCAAAACCACAGGCAACAGGAATCCACAAGAAAACAAAGTCCACAAACAAACGAGAAAACAGGAGTCCAAAAGAATTAAAGATCTAAAAAAAAACATGAAAACACAAATCAAATGTTACCAAAAACCTAGGTCATCAGGGGAAGAACTGTAACCAGGAGGAAGGCTCAGAGAGATGAGTAGGAGGAAGACTGACGAGGTTAGACGAGGACCCAGTAAAGAGGAACTGAAAAAAGAAGGCTTTTAAAGGAGACTGAGAAAAAGAGAGGGCTAATGAGAAGATTGGGAACAGGTGAGGATAGATCAGAAATAAAAACATGAGCTAGGGAGAAAGAAGAACACAAGAGGGCAGCAGATGGCAACAAATGAAAAAACCTGGAAGACTGACAATAGTTAGAAAATACAACAAAATAATTAAACCACTAAGACTCTAAAACATGGAGAAAAGTAAAACTAAACACTCAAAAGAAAACATAACAGAACCAAGACTGAAACAGTAACTAAGCATTACCTAGAGAACACAGCAAAATAAAAATAAAACCACTAGAAAACAAGGGGCAAAGCGAAACTGAACACTAAAAAGAAAATATTACAGAACTAAGACTAGGACAGTAACTGAGAAAAAAACAAAGAACACAATAAACTAAGAATTAAACCATAAAAACTAGGAAATAAGGAGAAAAGTAAAACTGGATTCTCAAAAGAAAAACATCACAGAAAACAGAAACCTAACAACAGGCACTCCCCTTTCCTCATCGCGGCGGGCACCTCATGACGCCTTCGATCTGCGCTGCGGGTGCGTCGTGGCGCGTATTATTGTGGGCATTTTATGGCGGCTGCATCGCGGCAGGGATTTTATGCCACCTTCTAGCATCGCGGCAGGCGCTCCATGAAGCCTATACCCATTGCGACAGATGCATCCCACTTTTATCATTGCCTCGGCACTTCATGGCGCCCTTTTTTCATCACAGCCAGTGCATTACGGCCCCCAGCTCTTTGCCTCAGGCGCATCATGCTTTTAACCCATCGCAGTGCTATCGCACTCTCTTTACATTACAGCAAGTGCATTACGGCCCCTCAGCTCATTGCTCCAGGCGCATCGCACCCAAACCCATCCATGCATTGGTATCACAAGGTGCTCGCTTCGAACCCCATAGCACATCATGGCATACATATCTCAACTGAAACATCTCGCTTAACCATCGCGGCTTGCTTGTTTTGCGGGTTGGCCTAGATCATTGCATCCCCATCTACTTTTCTCAGCTCATTGTGGCTTGTGTATCATGTCTCCAGCTGATTGTTGCACGGTTGTGTGTTCTTGCTCACACCCTTAGCTCATCGCTATGTAGAGCTTGTCTGTGGTTGTGGCGGGCCAGAGTGCTCAGCCACAGCCTCATTGCTGTTATCACAACAGTCATCACCGCATCGTTATTTTTTAAGCGTCATTGTCTCCTTGCTTCGTCAGATAATTTGCATTGCGAATCATCCCAAGCGTCGCTTTTTCATTTCCAGGCTGCTTGATCTGGCTATTACATTTCCTTTCTCCTTGTCCAGGTTCACTTTTTATGGGCTGCCTTCTGACTTTTCTTTTGGTCTAGACTGCTTCTCGATTGGATCGGCAATCTTTCTACTATCTCATCATTCTGTCTGCAGCCAAGCTTCGATTTTAGGGATGATACCCCATCCATAGGTTTTGGGGGGTTCTTTCAAATAGTTGGTTCACGGTTCATAATTAGGAATTATGAGGGGAGCAGCTCACATCATTAGCTTGCATCGTCGGGCCATTTATTCAGAATGGAGCAGCCATAA